CTCCCAGTGTGTGCCTACGTATCCGCCACAAGGTCCGTCCCCTCGCCGATCACATACTGAGGCAGACAGCATATGCATTTGACCCGCACATCAGTCAGGGGAACACGGGACTCTCTCTCAGAGCGGACGGCACGAAAGTGTATGTGTGGCTGGCTACCTCTCTCTCTCTCTCGGTTGGCTGAGATCAGTTGGTCGTCTGGTGTGTTTGGCTGTGCGTATGGGTGGCTGGCATGCTTCGCGTGTAGGTTTGACCGTTGCCAGAGAGAGGACATCCGCACCATGACACTTTTGTAACATGGCCTCCTTGATGTGTTGGGGCAGGAAAGTGGGAATGTCAGGGATCTGACAGAGGGGAGAAAGAGAGAGAGGGATAGTTATCTCGGGTGTCAGGAAAAGGACAGTCACCTTTCCCTGCACGACAACCGCAGTGATGATCTGCACGTGGACCTTGCCCTCGAAGGGAGGCCGGCCTGAACACCACAGCACTAGAATACGCTGCGCAGATTGTGCGGACCTGCTGACCTCCAAACAGCTCAGCCAGTACTGAAGCACAGAAGCGCACAGTATTGAATAGCGAGAGGTTATGCATCAGTGTCTGGCGACAGGTCTGCTTACTTCCTCCCAGGGCCCAGATGTCATCCTTCTCAGAGAGCTTCTCCACTGAAACACAGACAGACAGACAGACAGACAGAGAGACAGTGAAGATCGCCGACAAATTCGATTCTCACACTTACACTCATCCTTCAGAGACTCGGGGGACATATAGTTGGGCGTGCCCCCTCCTGCAGCGCACTCATGATTGTGGTCAATTCAGCCTCTCAGCGGTTCTGTGCCTGTCTTCGTGTACCTCCGGCGACTGTAGTTGTCCTCTGGATGCTGCGCGTCATACCGAAGTCAGATATCTTGATGGTCAAATCCTGACCCAACTGAACACGGAAGGGAGAGACGAAGCAGCAAGAAGACGCCCATAGAGAGCGGCAAAGAACACTGTGTCCTCACCAGAAGGTTTCCAGGCTTCAGGTCCCTGTGCATGATGCCATGATTGTGAAGATACTGCAGGCCCTCACATATCTGACAAAGACAGACACAGACGACAGGCGGCGGCCGGCGGCGGTCGGCGTCTCCCGTTCGTCCGCTCTGCTGCACCTCTCTGATGGACTTGTCGCGGACGTTCGGCTTCAGCGGTCGATTCTTGGCCAGGTATTTCTCCAGTGACCCGCCCTCACACAACTTTGATCCACAAAGACAGGCACCTAAGATGCCCATTGATGAAGTCCGAAAGAGGCCGACCTGTGACGATCACGAGGCCGTATTTCCTGTGTGTGCAGACGCCCAGAAACTCAACTATGTTGGAGTGGCGCAGGTGCTGCATCTCCTGAGCCTCGGCCAGAATATCTTCCATCGCCCCAGCCATCAGGTCCTAGACGCCACACCAATGCAGACAGCACACAATGCAGCCACGGGGGTTCAGCCGCTCACCTCATCGTCGACGTCTTCCCCTCTGTCCCTAAGGCGGTCGACATTCATGATCTTGACCGCCACGGGCCGCCTCTTCCACAGCCCCTTGTAGACCACCCCGAAGCCCCCGCTCCCTACATGATCATGAGTCATGACAACACAGCACACAACAAGACGTCGGGAGGGGGGGTGCAATCGGGCCATCTGGCGGCTGTTGCGCCGACCGAGGGGCTTGTCATTCTCATTGAATTTCAGGTCCCTCGCCCTGATCAACAAACGGGGGTTGGCGGCCATCCAAAACACCCAATTGTGAAGGCCGCGTTGGGTGCCGATGGCCCCTGTTCAATCAAGCCAGGGGCTCAGCCACTCGAGAAAAGGGCCAGGAGAGGCCGATTGGGGGGCGGGACGCCGGGACGAGACCCAAGCAACAGGGGAATCGTCGGATTTTGCAAGCTTTCAAGCGATCCTCCGGTTCAGGCCTTCTCTCGCCGTGACGAGAAGGGTCTGAGGGCGAGGGATCCCCAGTAGGCCCGCCACCAAAGATGTTTCGCAGGAGATGAATGAAAATGACCCGTTGCCTGTCTGCCTTTCCGCTCGCGTCAGACTCTGCCTGTGTCACCTGCAGGAGTAAGTGCCGAGTGGAATGTAGGAATGTAGTGGAATGCCTGAGGGCCCTGAGACGGCCAACTACGTGAATGGCAGCCGGTCACTATACTTTCGAGTGCAGAATGGTAGTCTGATCTGCGTGCGTGTGGTGAGCCCGCCTGTATGAGTGTGTGCTCTGTCCTAGTGGCCAGTGCCCATCTTTCGCGAATACGGGCGTGGGTGCATACCCTTAAGGGCAAGCGTCTTGGTGGTCGAAAACTGGCTGCGAGCCACGAAAACCGACCTCTGAGCCCAAAACCAGCTTTGCACAGTGCAAAACCGGTTTTGCGACAGAGAAAACCGGTTTGCAATAGAGAAAACCGGTTTTGCTTGTTTTCAAAGCCCGGTTTTCCCTGTTTGAGTGCCGGTTTTCGAGCCACACTTTTGTGGAGACATCTATTTCCGGTTTTGCTTGTTTTCAAAGCCCGGTTTTCTCTATCGCAAACCGGTTTTCTCTGTCGCAAAACCGGTTTTGCACTGTGCAAAGCTGGTTTTGGGCTCAAAGGTCGGTTTTCGTGGCTCGCAGCCAGTTTTCGACCACCAAGACGCTTGCCTTGTTGCAATTGTGTGCACTCTTCGTCTCGGCAGGAGTTGAGCGGTGTGCTCTCTTCATCCGCCTCCACACTATGCAAACGATCGGCGGCGGACACGTGGAGAAACATGCCAGAAACTCATGAAACTCATGAAGCTTATCACACACATGGATGGATGGATGGATGGATGGATTGTGTGGGTTGCGTGCGTACGCGAGGATGAAACTGATTGGTGGGTGGCCACAGAGAGAGAGACGGACCACACACGGACGCCATCTCTCCCTCTCTCTCTCTCTGTGTGTGTGTGTGTGTGTGTGTGTGTGCATTCAGAACCACGAGGGCGTGTTAGGCCCCAACCGCTGTCACCTCCCCCGCCTCGTGGGCATCCTCTCGCGCCTACCCCCAACACACACGTCTCTCTCTCTCTCTCTCTGTGTGTGTTTCGTTCTGCCAGGCCACGAGCAGCTGCACCAGTGGCAGCAGAGCGGCGCCTTCAAGCCAAAGGAGGCCGAGCGCATCGAGAAGGTCTGGAAGGACATAGCCGTCCAAAGCGCCAAACAGCACCACCAAGCAGCCACAGCAGCTGCCCACACACCCTCCCCCACCGCACAGCAGACACTGCACCCGACGGCTCCCCACCTGCCGTCCCCCCACCCATCGCCCGAGGCCTCCCCGCTGCACCCCCAGCAGCAGACTTTCGGCGGCACACACGCAGCCGGATAATGACACACACCGACAGCCAGCGTCATGGTGTGTGGATGCGTGTGTGGTGTGAGTGGTGGTCCCTTCCTCCAGTCGTCATTGCATGTAAACCGACGAGAAAAGGACAGTCGACTGATTGATTGGTGCATGAGCAAGACAGACGTACAAAACGGGTGTTTTGTTTCGTTTCGTCTTCTCTCTCTCTGTGTTGTGTGTGTGTCTGTCTGAGTGTGAGTGTGAGTTTTAATGCGTGAATGACTGAATGGGTGGCTGGATGGATGAGTGCGTTCGTCCGTGGCTTTTCTCTGTCTGTCTCTTTTTGTTGGAAGTCCATGCGTTGAGCACCATGCGTACCTTTAACTAAGTGTGTGCCCACAGTTGTTGATTCGACACATCCACTCGATAGAGACAGACAGGCAGACAGACAGACAGACGGACGACCACCAGCAGGACACCACACCCGACCAAAGGAGAGAGTGCACCAGACGCCCCCCTCACTCACTCAACACGCAGAGAGGCAGCCGCTGCCAGGGGGTGAGATCCGTGCCGAAGAAGACGAGGCATTGTTTGTGTCAAAGGGTCCCTGCGCCTCTGTCCGCCCCGTCGGAGCTCAATTGACCGGTGAGCACATCAAAGAGCACTCAGCAAGTGGACCATCCAGTCGCACACAGACTTACCAAAGAGTACTCCCACACACAAACACAAGAGACACGAGGGCTTACACACTCCACACACGAAGAAATAAGACCACAGCCATCACCACACAGTGACTATCGCTTGTACTCCTTCATGATCTTTCTGATCTCCGGCTGTTTCTCCGCCAAGTCCCAGGCGTCCGCCCCATGGGGACATGGGGTCAAGGGGAGGAGGGGAAATTTTCTTGCCGGTATATTGGTCAGTAGTGCATGCGCACCAAGCCTAGACTAGTCCTATTTCTTGTTTTTGTACTCCTTCATGATCTTTCTAATGTTCGGCTTTTCCTTCGCCAATTCCCACGGGGTCTTCTCGCCCGACCACTGTTGTCATGGGATGAGATGAGCACATGACTTGACCCATCGATGGTGTGGATGTCTGTGTGCACTCACCTTGGTGGTTTTGATGTTGAGCAGAGCACCGCCGCCCCACTCGAGCCTTTGAGAATGACACACAGACAGAGAGAGTGGAGGAGACACTCGCGTCAGTCAGTCATCTGTGTGGCCCACAGCTGAGACACAGCTGCAGATTGGTTAGAGTATGCAGCCCAATGGAGTGCCGTCCAGCCCCTCTGTGTGTGTGTCATACAAACAGGCAAGGGCAATCAGACAGATGAGAGGCATTCTGTTTCTGTTTCGCCCGCATGAGGTCTCACATTGTCCTTCTCAGTGAGAAGCTCTTTCCCTCCTTTGGCATACAGAGCCTTCAGCGCACCGACATGACCACTGGAGGCAGCCAATATGAATGGCGTAGTGCCGCTCTGAATCCACACACACACACACACACAGTTGGCACACACAGTTGGCACACAGTTGGCAATCAGACAGATGAGAGGCATTTTGTGTTTTTTCGCGGGTGAGGTCTCACATTGTCCGTCTGTGTGAGAAGCTTCTCTCCTCCTTTGGCAAACAGGGCCTCCATCACCTTGACATGACCGTAGTAGGCAGCCAGCATGAATGACGTCTTGCCCCCCTGAATCAACAAACACACGCACAGTTGGCACACTGAGGTGTCAGAGACGTGTGTGTGCTCTGTCACCTTGTCGCGTGCATCGATCAGTTTGGGATCCCACTCCAGCAGCTGATCGACAGCCGCAAGACGGCCATTGCTGGCAGCGTGGTGCAGAGCATTGTCACGATTCTGCATTGCATCGCAGCCAACATACATCTTCCCTCACCACCACCAGCAGAACAAATCATTCTCGTCTGTGTCGGTACCTCGTCTGTTTGTTGCAGTACGTCAGGTTTTTTCTCATGGATGACCGACATGACGTCCACGTGACCCTTCTCAGCAGCCACGAGGAAGGGCGTGTTCTGCGCGCATTAATGAGAAGACACAGCCAGACCACTGAGTCCACTTCTGTCATCTTCACGATTGCATACCTTGTACTGGCTCTCGTCTCGTTTGTCGAGTATGCTCTTGCCGTCTTTGTACCTGTCGCTGGCGATGAGCGCACGAACGGCCTCCACATCGCCGACCTCTGCAGCTTTGAAGATGTCATTCTGCAGACAACCAGCTCAAGAAGAGCGGCCCATTGACGTGTGGGACTCAGCTGCTGGTGTGTCCCTGACGTGTTTGATCTGCGGCTGTGGGGCGCTCGGCGGTGTCTTTGCTAACGGCTGCTGGGTGGGGGACGCTGCACGACAAACAGATCATGTGCTAATGTGTCTCTCGCTGTGTGTGTGTGTGTCAGTGATCACCTTTAACGCTCTCGCCCGCCCCGCGGAAGAATCCCCAGCGGAACCGCGGCGGTGCCTGCAAGTCAGCTGCTGTCCCTCTTTGACTCCCAGACGAAGGAGAGATGCCCAACTTGTCGAGGACCTGCCATGGGATGAGCAGCAAGGCGCAACCAAGAGATGAGCCTCCATCCCTTTGCTGTTCCTGCTCGTGTGTGTCTGCCGTGTGTGTGTAGCTTTCCCTCCACCTCGGAAGTAACTTGGAGTGTTTTGTCAGATTGTTCTTGGAATGTAACTTGGAACGTCTTGGCAGCGGGGAGAGTGAGGCAGAAACACACCACTCGGAGGGCCTTGAGAAGCGCCGTCGCCATCTGCAATGACACCGAAGCGCACACGCACATTGCATCCCGCATCACTTGCATGGCGCAGTACAGGGCGGCTATTGAAGTGCTCAGTGACACCGTCTCGAGAGCCCCAGTCACCTCAACTAGTGAGCCTCAGGGAGGATGTTCACGCGACGCAGGGCGGCAAGGATATAAGGCTCCTTTAAGACTTGAGGTGAGGACGGTCCGGCTGGACAAAAGGGATGCTTTGGATGATGTGCTGTGCTAAACTCAGAGACGGGCGGAGACGCCTCTTCTCTGATTTGCGCGCTTTTCCCTGGCCGCCCTCCTCCCTCATTCATTCATTCATTCATTCGGCGTCCTCATGAACACACAGGGCATTCATTCGGACGAGACTAGCAGCACTGCAAGACACCTCGCAGCGACCAGGGCGGCTGGTCCGGCTCACCAAGGTTTCCCTTGGCTACTCCTGGCTTTCACATGCCCCGTATATTTTACAAGCGAGGGGGGAAAAAGTCGCCGGCGCCCTACTTGATACCCGCCGGGCTGCGAGCGGTGTGGCGTGTCAGGTTGGTGTCTATGGGGGTGCGTGCACGCGTCTCTCTGTGCTCTGTGTCCGTGTCGTGTCTGTGTCGTGTCATGTCGTGTCCCCGGTGGAGCCGCCCATACATACATACATAAATGTGTACACACGCATATAATACACATCGCACGCAGAGACGAACGTGTGTGAGTCGAATGAATGACGGTGTGTCTGCAATCCATCTACACGTGGTCATTGAAGGTGGTGTCGTGTCGTGGCGTGCAGTGACGTGTGGATGTCTGAAGAGACACGCAGGATTAGTTCACGTGAAGCGTCTGTCTTTTTCCTCTCGTTGTGTACAGAATGTTCATGCTGTGTGCGCCTGTGTGTGCATGTGTCGGCTGGCTGCGTGCGGACCTATCTTGAACTATCATAGACACACGTGCTCTCAATCTCACCAAGGAAGGTGTCATGTGCATGCCGCACCCATACTACTCATTAAGGAAAACCAGTAAGGCATTCGAAATGTTTCAGCAGACAAAAGGCAGGTAGATGGGCTGGCAAGAACTAATTGCTCAAGGGGCGGGGCCTTGTCTGTCTGTCTGTCTGATCGACTGACTGATGTGTGTCTTACATACTGGTGTCCTCGATGACCTCCCGCATGACGGCGTCGATCTCGTCGATCGCCCCTTGCAGGAGCCTCTTGCAAGTCAGCCGGTACTCAATAGCCACACGCATGTTGATGCCCAGCGACTTGTCCTCGCGCAGCCGCCTCTCGTCCTCCGCTATGCTCGTCCGCTTCCTCAAGGACAGCAGATGTCTGATGACCCCCTGCACACACACACACACACACACAGAGAGAGAGAGAGAGAGAGAGAATGAGGCGACACTAGTCTGGTGTGTCTACACATGCGCCGATCGGTGTGTGGCGGTTCGTACCTTAACGCTTTTGAGTGCATCCAACTCGACCTGCTTGTCGGCCAACCGCCCCCTCCGGAGGTCACACAAGGCATCCAACTCGGCCCGACAGAGACCCACCATCCGCTGAGGTCCCCTTCGTTGTGCTTCCTGTCTGGCTTCTCAGCTCGTCGATGGTCCTGGCAGAGAGAATGCGCATTGCGGCCACGAAGCGGCCGTCCACAATGGGCGGCACTGTGCGTTCAGAGGACAACGGGGAAGAGGCCACAATGGACAGATGAATGGGTTACCGCCGCCGGATACCCACCTGCCTTTATCTTCATCAGGCGATCGCTGTCAGTCCCCAGCAGCCGTAACCTCTCCAACAGGTCAGCCTAGATAGTGAGATAGATACCGCACACATTCCATCGAGAAACAATGACGGCAGCGCGCGTCGCGTACTCGCCATTCGCTGATCTCGAGCGCACCGTCCTCGCCTCCTGAGGCGGTGGGCGCGAAGGTGTCCCGGCCGGCCTGGATCAGGCGCTTGTCGAAGGAGAACGGCAGAAAGTCATGGGGGCCGCCCTCGGGCACAAACCCGTACCACGTCAGATAAAAGGACGATGGCAACCTGATTGCATTCACACCAACAACAAAGGCCAACACACGGCACAGTGGGAGGGTGGATGGCAGGCATTCACGTCCCTCCTCTCTCTCTCTCTCTCTCTCTCTCGGTGTGTATGTGTGTGTGTGTGTGTGTGTGTCTTACTCTTGGCTCCTCGCAAAGCGACCGTAGTCGTAACGGAGGAATTCACCCGCCGAGATATCCCTTTTGACATACATAAAATGATACAGTATGGACGAAAGGCTTGAGGGGAGGATTGACAGATCGAAATGCATACCGGTTGGCAACCACGAGAACGGACCCCTCCGCATCCCATTCCAGCCGGCAGTTGGCGTCGAAGAAGAATTCGTGATTGATCATGTCAACCAGGGGCACCAAGCGAGCAGGGAACACCAATGCATCGATGAATTGTTTACTGTCTGGAAATGACCTGACGCACAGACAGACATGAGGGTCGGTCTATCTCTCTGTCTGGCTGGCTGGCTGGCTGGCTGGGGGGAAGGGGGGGTCACTTACCTGGGAAGCCAGATAGACCGTGTGTAGGAAATAGCCAAGGCCCACCCCAAGAGGTTCGCGTCCACCTCCACCTCCCCACCACCACCAACACCACCACCGTTGGCACCGGCGGCATCACTCTCGAAGAACATACGCTTTGTGGTCACATACCGGTGAGAGATCTTCTTGGCCAGCTGCATCAGGGACTTGGACACCGATCCGACATGCGCCCGTTGGCCGGTCTCCTCGAGCGCGGCGAGGCAGGCCGAGTTGAAGAACAGTGGGAGCCCGACAAAGGATGCCGGCAGGACGTCGATGTAGGGTTGGAAGAAGGAGTTGCCCTTGATGCGCTCGGCGAGCACCACCAGCCCAAGCTGCAGCATGAACAGGTCGGGGGGCACTGAGCCGTCAACGGTTTCCGGCAGTTGAATGCCTGCATGTATTATTGCACACATCCATCCATCCATCCACCCACCCACCAGTCAATCAATCGAGACGAGAAAGACCGTGGGCACGCCGACTCTCTCTCTGTGTCTGTCTGTCTGTCTATCTGTCCATTGTACCTTTGAGCAACCATTCCATATCGTGTCGATAGGTGGCATTGACGTCCATGTGCAGCCTCCTCGGCACATAGAGCACCACCTCCCCCTCCCTCTTGTCCTTCAGACACTTCACCCCAAACCCCATACCCCTCTCCCTCTCACAGACCACGTCGCTCGCCACACCGCCGTGCCGAGTGATCCAGCTCTGCAGTGCGTCGAAGCTCTTCTTCAGGGCTGGCACAGACACACTGGCCGTGGCCGGCGTGGCCATCATTGGTGGCGCCGGCTGATGATTCTTCCGCCTTCGTCTATTGTGCTGATGGAGGGGTGTGTGCTGATGGATGAATGACGCCGGCCGGATGGACGGCGCAAGAGGGCTGGCGGCGGCAGAAAGGCACGGCATCGCCAGGACGGTGCATAGCAGCGAGATGGGAGGGTGGGGCAGTGCTGACCTCCTCCTCTTTCGCTTTCCTGAGCCCCGGTGTTGCAGATCTTGATGCACACGGATGCGGATCGTTGATACCATTAGATCTGCCTGGCAGGCTGAGTCTGTTCGCACCGCGTGCGCGAGCTAAGCTCCCACCAAAGCTCGCACAGGGCGCAAGGGGAAAAGGGAGCAATGAAGACGGCATACGACGCACGGTGCCGCGTCTGACGTTGTTGTTGCGAGATCTCTTCATTATCTGCAGCTGAAGCAAACGTGTATCGGCTGACCCGGGAATGCAGACGACCATTGAGACGCTGCTGCGTCTGCTGGCGTGTTCATCTGGCGCCCTTGCCGTATCTTCTGACATCGGGCTGCAGAAGACAGCCTTCTTACCCGCCTCCGGGCTGCCACTGGACAGGGGCAGGAGATCAGCAGCACCGTCTTCGCGCCCACATCTGGCTCAACTCTCGCGACATTATGCGGCCTCCCGGCCCGTTGAGCAGCCGCCATCACCGCCGCAATCAGTGGCCACCGAGCTGCCCGCTCGGCTGAATGGCAACAACGCATCAGCACTGCACCACGGACGACAAGCAGCGGTGAACCATGAGACCCAGGCGTCTGCTGCTGCTGCTGCTGCTGCTGTTGTCATGGATGAGAGGCCGCGTGTGGCTGTGAATGGTGTGGAGTTCGACGTGCTGGACAGGGAGGGGAACCTGACGGACGGTGAGGCGGTGACGCGGAGGGACGACACTGTGGTGCTCTTCCTCCCCGGCATCTTCGGTGAGGGAGGGAGGAAGAAGACCATGCACTGCACTGCTCGCTTCAGTCAGTCTAATTGGCAAGCGCTTCTCTCTCCCTCTGTCCCCCTTTGTGTGCGGTCCGTGTGTGAGTGGTTCTCGTAGGTTATTCGGGCAACAGTTCTCAGCCGCAGCTGGCGAGTCTGTCGCACCGGTGTCCCGTCTGGCGGCTGTCAATCCCGCCAACTGACCGCTCCACCTTCTCAGAGCTCGAGGGAGCCGTGGTCACCTTCATCAAACAGCTCAAACAGCAACAACCACACAAACAGGTCCGGTGGTTGGCACACTCACACACAGACTCACTGTTGGTCTGTCTGTCTGTCTGTGTAGGTGGTGCTTGTCGGTGACAGCTTTGGGGGCCTTCTCGCCCTGGGTGTTGCATTGAGGTGCGCCACAGACCCCCTGTTGCGCCCGCAGCGGCTCCTGAAGGGCGTGCTGGTGGTCAACCCCGCCACATCATACCTCTACACGGCCTGGCCGCTGCTGGGGCCGATAGCCACCGCGCTCGACGGCCCCCTTTACACCCTGATGGGCAGCCTGGCTTTGCTGTCGACGGTGCCCGACCCCATCCAGCGCGCATCGATTCGGGAGGCCTTCTGGCCGTCCTCTGTGCCCATCACACAGAGGCCGAGAGAGCTCGTCAAACAAGGTAGGTAGCTGAGGAAAGACATACAGACAGACAGACAGACAGACACACAGAAGGACAACGTGTGGATGGATGGATGGCTCTCTTTCTTTCACTGTATCCCATGCATTGTGTGCTGCTTGCAGTGCAGTCAACCTGGGCGGGCTTCTCGCGATTGGCAGACCGCATCGACCCCGACACCCTGAGGTTTCGTCTGGAGAAGTGGCTGCTCGACGGCAGTGAGCGCGTGTCGATCAAGCTGCAGACCAAGAGGGACAAGTACCCCTACGACCTGCCCACGGTGATTGTGGCGGGCAGCGAGGACGCCATGCTGCCCAGTGAGAGGGAGGCCAAGCGGCTGGCGAAACTGATGCCCGACAGCGAGCAGGTGCCTGCCAATGAATCAATGCGCTCCTGCCTGTGAGGCAAGCCATGATGGTATGTGTGTATGTGTGTGTGTGTGTGTGTGGTGCCTGTGCAAGGTGTTGGTGGCCGGTTCGGGGCACTATGTGCTGGACAACCGGACGAACCTGACGGACATCCTATTCACGTCCAAGATACTCAACCCCCCACCGTCTGCAGAGGAAAAGTACTTTGAGAAATTCGTGCCGCCAAAACTCACCGAGGTACATACGGGCTGTTGATTTATTTGGTCTTTTCTGTCCTCCCTCCTTTCTGTGTGCGGTGCACACGCACACACACGTCCATCTCATCTGTGTGTGTGTGTGCCCGCCACGGCCCGGTAGGTGACCGATTTGGAGATGCAGCAGGTCAACAGGATAGAGAATGCGACGTCGCCCGTGTGGGTATCGACCAACGTGTACGGCCGAAGGATCTGGTGAGAAACAAGATGACCGACAGCCATGCGTGTGTGTGTGTGTGGACACGTGTGTGTGCGTGTGTGTGTGTGTGTGTGTGTATTCAAGGGGTCTGTCTGGCGTGCCCACCGACCGGCGAGTGCTGTTTGTGGGCAACCACCAGCTGTACGGCCTCGATCTCGGGCTCCTCGTGCGGCAGATATACAAGGTAGGTACCTACCTAGCTACGTCACCAACCAAACAAATCCATTCTCCATTGTCTGTGTTGTCTTGGTGCAACCAGGAGAGCGGTCGGTTAGTCCGCGGCATGGCCCACCCGATAGTGTTCAACGGCTTCGGTCCCGGCAGCACCGACCCCAACAGGTCCACTCGCACCATCACCACTGCACCCACACAATCCCCCACACAATCACAGCAGCCGCTACAGCCACAGCAACAACAATCCTCTCGCCGGTTCCTGCCGCCATTGCCCCCGCCGCCGCCTCTTCCCGCTCTCCCATTGCGGAATAGGCGGAGGAATCGGCGAAGTGATGAAAGTGGAGACGAGAGCAATGGGGAGGGGCGGGAGAGCGATATCGTGATGGGGATGCCGCCGCTTGAGCGGTTTGGTGCGGTGCCTGTGACGGGGCGGAACCTGGTGCGGCTGATGCAGAGGCAGGAGTGGATACTGCTCTTCCCTGGTACGGACGGACACTCCTTGTGCTACTGGCACTCATGTGGAGCGGGTGAATGGATGGATGGATGGATGTCCCTCTCCACATACACTCGTGTGTCTGCTGTGGTGTCTGGTGTGCCTTCGCTTAGGTGGGGTGCGCGAGGTGTTTCACAGGAAAGGAGAGAACGACCTGGTGTGTACGCAATCGGACAGACGCTCAGCTACCCACTCTCACCCTCTCCTTTCCTCTCCTCTCCTCTCTCTCCATAGGTCTTGTGGGCGGACACGGCCGAGTTTGTGCGCACGGCGGCCAAATACAACTACACTATAGTGCCCTTCTCGGCCATCGGTGCGTCGGACAGCTTCCAGATGCTGCTCGATCCCGAGGAGATGCTGCGGCTGCCTCTGGGGCTCGGCGAGCGCATCAGACGACAGGCCGACAAGATGCCCACAGTGAGGGAGTACGAGAAGATGGTGCCGCCACTGAGTGTGCCAAAGGTCCCCGACCGCTTCTACTTTCTCTTCCACGCTCCCGTCGACCTGACGGCCGTCAGCCCCACCGACCGCGACACGTGCCAGTCCGTCTACAACGACATCCGGCAGCGTGTCGAGACCGGCATCGAGCACCTGAGAGAAGCGAGGCAAAAAGACCCCTTCCGCAACTTTGTGGCCCGCACGGCCTTCAAGCGGCTGTATGGCCGCCAGCCGCCATCTTTCGAGCTCGACGAGCTGCCCAGCGCGCGATCAGAGGAGGCAAAGAATAATGGGTCAGACGGCAGCGAAGCCAACTGATGCTCCTGTCGCCTGTTGAGCTGTCAGCTGCTCTACTGTGTAACGTTCGCGAAGCGAAGGAAGGAGCTGGGTGAGCTGAGCAGAGAAGTGAGAGGAGCCCAGGCCGTAGGTTTTTGACGTTTGCTGTGTTGTCACCCGCCGTCCATATCTAGACGCACCGGCCCCATTATGCATGTGTTCTTTCTCTGTCTGTCGATCGAGATCTGCAAACAAAACGACTCCTGGCGGTAGTCGGTGAGTGGATGTGTAGCGAGCGACTCACTGATTGGGCGGGGGAGTGCATGTGTGTGGGGGGTGTACAGGCAGAGAGACGGACAGTGCCAGCAAGCTTCAAGTTGGCAGGGGGGAGAGATTTTGGGCCGGGGGAATGAATGCCATGGAATGGCATTCATTCCTCCATGAGCTGCATGAGTGTGCCACCGTGTCGATCCCAGGAGTAACGTGACGACACGCATAGCAGACCAACCCCTCAAAGCCATATGTAGGACTGCCGCTGGCAGGCTTCTTTGACGTCGACGTAACGGAAAGCGGCCACAGCGTCTGATCTCGAGTCTACCGTGTATCAAGACCATCCATTCACGGGGACTCATCGCACAGAGAAAAGGCAGCACCGAATCACACCACACGACACACACGCACACTACAGAAAACCACACCACCGATGCAGGCATGGCCCACCAACACAGGCTCGCGCCCCTCATTCCGTGAAACCGCTCTCTCAAGCCATGCCCTCGACATGTTGCGAATTGATGAGTCTGTGGCCGAGCGGATCTTGCACCTGCATCAGCACAAGCACCAACAGCAGCAGGCAAGCACCACTGAGATGATGACGCACCTCGTTCAGCTGCTTTGCGTTGTGCGTGTGTGTGCAGCGCGTCTGTGTGGTCGGCGTGACGAAGAAGCACGAGGACGAAGGGAGATGGACTGACTTGATTGGCGCATTCATGTGAAACATCAGCACACACACTTGCGGGTATCATTGTGCCTCTCGTGTGTGTGTGTTGTGATTGCGTGTGCAGTTACCCGCCCCAGCGTGACGACGACGAGGCCATCGATGACACCGATGTGCCCTCACTGCAGGACATCACTGATGGTGAGCCAATCCGCCAGACAGACAGATGGATGCGGCCATCCACCTGTGTGTGTCCTCCCTCCCTTCCTCCCTCCCTCTCTCCGTTCTTCGTTCAGCGCTGCCTTTGGGACTGTCTGTGGTCGGCACGACGGCAGCACCGACAGACGAGCACACACAACACACTGGTGGGCACTCACACAGCGATGGATGTCGGCACACATCAGTGTCTGTTGTGTGTGAGGATGACGTGCAGACGCTGCTGGGGGCTCGCAGTGCCTCGTGCGGCTGACTGTCAAAGACGGTCAGTCCGCACACAACCACACACATACATAGGCAGCACACAGTGAGTCGATGGCGCCCACATGATGAGTGTGGGCGGTTTCTCACAGATGAGTCCGTCGCATTGGCGGATCGCTTCACCGCACACACGAGCAAGGGCCTCTCCATCCCAGTGTCGATTGCGCCCATTGTGAACGACTACGTGGCCTTGCGCGCGAGCATGGAACTCTCGTGGGCACAATAATCTCTCTCTCAATCTGTGTGCATGTGTCTGTGTGTGTGGGTGTCGTCGGTGCGGTGTGGTGCAGGTGCGTCGGTGTGACGCCAAAGGACCTCATTGCCCACCTGCAGGCCTTCCTGAGGCAATTGGTGTGCGGCAAGGGCGACTGCATGCGCCTCCTCATAGCCGTGAGAACAAAGCCATTGATGCTGACAGACGCACACGCAGGAGTGGCCACACGATTGTATGTGTGTGTCTGTGCAGGGCAGCGACATGCGGCCGCTGACGATAAAGGAGATTGGTAACCGCACACACACATGGTGCCTTAATTGCACATTGTACCGATGCGTGTGTGCCTTTACCTACACAGTCGATGGTGCGGCGGAGTCAGACGTCGCCGCACTGTTGACCGAGCCAATCGGCGAATTGATGTATGCCCCCCCCCCCCACACACACACACACACAGAGAGAGAGAGAGAGAGAGAGAGCGAGAGAGAGATTCCCACATACATACATACATATATACAAATGTCTGTATGTCTGCATTTGTATGTATGTATGTATAATGTACAATGTACATATACACATACACATACACAGTATATGTATACGTGTATAGATTATGTATATACGTATAAGTGTTGCGTATTGGTGCCATCTATCCATCGACTCAGCGATCCATCCATGCCGCACACCCGTTCGTCACGCAGCCATCGGTGTTGGTCTGTGTCTGTGTCTGTGTGTGTGGCGGTGTAGATCCTCATCAGCAGCGGTGCCGTCAACGACAGTGCCGATCATCCCCTGCAGCACATACGCACAGCCGATTTCTGGACGCCCCCCATTGGCTAAGTCTTACCGCCACCCACCGGCGCACACAGACACAGAGAGGCCCTCGTTGATGTGCACGACGGCGCACGGCCTGGCCGTCATGACCCGATCAACCGCTGTGCAGAAAGGTGCCGCAAATTATAATCCCATTAATATCGGCGCGTTAGTGCAAAGGCCTTATGTGTGGTTTCTGTGTGTGTTCAGGTCTGTCTTTGGTGGGCCAGTCCCTGGTGCGTCAGCTGCTGAAAGTCATGGCCGACACGCAGCGATGGGGCCAGTGCGTCGGGTACTATCTGCTGCAGGTGCCCTTGTGTTTGCTTGTGTACACCCAACACTCACACGATGGATGGATTGATATCGTCGCTCTGTGTGTGTGTGTGTGTGTGTGCAGCCTTTGGTGCTGTCCCATCCTCTGATCCTCGGCGGTCCGCAGATCGACACGCGAGAGTGGGTGTGGGATATATCCGATGGAGCACCCTCCACACCTCTCCCTCTCTCTTTCTCTGTGTCCGTCCGTCTGTCTGTCTGTGTCTGTTTAGGCGTCGCCTGTTGCTGCACCGCATTTGGCGCCTCCCGATGTACCCCTGCGTCACAAAAGAGGTAACCGGGTGGACGGGGGTCTCTACTTTTGCGAGTCCGGCGGTATGCATTTCGTTCACTCAGGCGGCTTTGCGTGGCGAGGGCGAGAGCAGAGTGACCGACGAGGGGCGGCTGATCAATGTGAGCTAAGAGCGGACGCACCCCATGAGAGCTGCCTGAGTGGGGAATGTGTCGCTGTGTGTGTGTGTGTGCGTTTGCCCGCTGTGTGCAGCCCCACAGGGCCCTCATCCACAAGACACAAAGATACACACATGTGCGGAGCGTCAGAGGTATGCACCTCTCTCTCTCTCTCTCCCCTACAGCTGCGCATCTCTCTCTCTTTGTCTCTCTCTGTCTGTGTGTGTGTGTGTGCAGGAAGTTACGAGTACCATCACTGCGGTCACGGCGGTGTGGCCGACATCGGGTGGGGCGGCTGCTACCGCGCTGTCATGACCATCGTGTCATGGTACACACGACAGGGATACACCACACAGGTCTGCACACAGATAGCAAGAGAGAGAGAGGCATGCACACAGCAGATCCATAATGGTGCTTGGGGCGCGTGTGACTCGTTCGATCGGCCAACCACTGCAGGCCGTCCCTTCGCACAGTGACATCCAGAGGGTGCTCAGGGCGCGAGAGCCCGCACACAGACAGCTCGCTATCGGATCAACCACATGGCTCGGCTGTGTGGAAGGTCAGGCAGGCACTTTGTAGGAGTCACTGGTGTACCCCATTCATTGTGAGGCGTGTGCCCGCCCCCCACAGGGAGCTGTGCGCTGGAATGGCTCGTCGGCAAGGAGAAGGACGATGACGATAAGTCGGTCCTTCTGTTCATTCAGGTGAGTAATTGACTGAGGGACACCAACACACACACACACAGAGAGGGAGAGAGACAGACGAGTGCGCGCGCGCGCGTGTGTGTGTGTGTGTGTGTGCAGGATGCGACTGACCTGGGCAGCTACAGCCAGCAGATCAGGCAGCATTTCGTCGCACAGGGCACGCCCATCCTCGTGGGCGTCGGCAGCCTCACACTCATCCTGGTCGCCACGGCAACAGACACACACACAGGTGCACACCAACAGACACACAGAGGGAGAGAGAGAGCCAAATGTCCCCCATTGCTTGACTGACTGCAGGGGAGTCTTCGTATCTGGTGGTCGACCCGCAGTACGCCGGCCCCGACCATCATGACGATGCCGCCACACTCACCGCCAGCGAGTGCGTCGCATGGCGATCGGTCAGTAGCGTGATGATATGTTCCCAACGGCACCGTTAATGCGCGTCTGTGTGTCTGTCTGTCTGTCTGTCTCTGTGTGTGTCTGTCACTCGCCTGCAGGCCGAGTGGCTGGGCGAGATTGCCGGCGGCCGGTTTATGTGTTTGGCTCTGCCGCAGATGATCAGAGACCAACAGGGCAGGGCCATCATTTGACCAATGAGTGGATGGATGGATGGATGGCGTGCTAATTAATTGATAAGAGTGTCAGAGCGTCGAGCTTTTGACACGTCAACAGAATCCGGCACACAGAGACGGATGGAGCCTTGTACAGAGCATACAGGCGAATCTGCATGGCCGACAGACAGATAGACAGACAGACAGACCGAGAGACAGAGAGACAGACAGAGAGGGGTGCGTGCCGTGTGTGAATCTGCACACTTTGACACCAATGGCAATCAATCACGGTATGTTGATGAGATGTTGATGAGATGTTGATGAATCCAATGGTTCCACTCACATCGCCAGATCGCCTCTCTGCTTTTTTACACCCACCTGCACCCCAGCTGAGCTCCACTGAGTACATACTGGGGGGAATGAAAATGACGGCTCCGCTGAGAGAATACGTGCATAAACACGCACGCAAGTAGGGTCGGCTGCGGGCAAGCGCTGCGCATTGCTTGCTTGTTGCATAGCAGCTGCAGCCCTGCCCCAACACGTATTTAGGGGTGTGTGTGTGTGTGTGTGTATATATCAATGAACAGAGATCCTGTGTGGGCAGACCGTCCAGTAAGTGGCTTTCTTCGGTCTGTTTGATTTAGGGTGCGTGCGAGGCCTTGGGCGCATGTGCGTTGCAACGCAAATGGGATTGACCGATTGACCGATTGACGGATCTCCTGCGATTGGGATTGACGGATTCTGTGTGTCACTGTCAGTAAGCATTGATTTGCGTGTACATCACAAATGGTGCACACACGACATTAAGTACGTCTCATACCACACGCAGTATAAGCCGGCAGTCGACCCTAGCTATCCACTCTATGGCCCACTTAGCCACCCGGCCACTCACAAATGAACGCGTCGACCACCAATAATCAGCAGCAGAGGCCCCAGCAACTCTTGGCCTCCTTGGGCACATCAGCCAACAGGTCATAATAACGACCTGCATGAGCACACACCAACACACACACACACACACACAGACACACACACGTTCTCCCTGTGTCTCGCGGGCAAATCTCATGGCAGTCCCACTCAATCACTCACCATTTTTCTTGCGATAGGCGGGTGCCCAGAAGCAGTCGTTCATAAACAGCGTGTAGCTGGTCATCCTCGACCGCAGCACATTCACCCCGTGGGCCGTCATCCAATACCCAGCAGTCTGCACAGAGAGAGAGGGGGGGGAGGGCAGATGCATCTGTGCGTTCAGCCACCATCACACATCTCCTTCAAGGCACGTACGTCCAGCACGGCAGGCAGCAGGATGCGCGCGTCCTCCAGCTTCATCCACTTGTGCAGGTACTCCTTCATGAGAAACTCCTGATGGATGGACACAGAGAGAGACACAGAGAGAGACAGAGAGGTGTGTCGGGGTGTGTGTCTGTGGGGGAGGGGGGCTGGAGGTGGAGATGGACTTGCCTGGTCCGAGAGGGAGTACAGGCATTTCGCACCGCCGACGGGGTCGATTGACAACTTCTCCTGAACATACACATGACAGACGCACCGACAGATGGATGGACGGATCTCTCTCTATCTCCCTCCCTCCCTCTCCCTGTCTGTCTGTCTGTGTCTGTGTGTGTGTGCACCGACCATTTCGTCAATGTGCTTCTCCGTGTATGGAATCAGCAGATCCAACGCCTACAGGTGAACAGAGACACAGCACACACACACGAGAGAGGCCAGCCAGGTGTTCGTGCCTCTCTGTATATCTTTGTGTGTGGTTGCCCAGTGCCCACCTCGCAGGTTTCTGTGAGGCTCTCCTCGAAAGGCCTCTGGCGGAACCTCTTGGCCGCGTCCATCAGCTTGGTCAGCCGCTGACCGACGCACAACAACAAATGCAGAGACAGAGTGTGTGTGTCTCTCCCCATGTTGTCATCCTTCTCTCTTTCTCTCTCTGCCTCCCCAGTGGCTGTCTCTCTGTCTCTCTGTGTGTGTGTGGGTATGTATCTTTTGTGTGATGTCTGTTGCTCAGTGCTTTATTACCTCCAGGACGTCATTGTATCTGTCCCGGTATGGCTGCTTGTACAGAGTGGTAAGCGGCGTGCACGACATCCACGTGTCGAACAGGACCTTCTCCAACGCCAGCGCACGATCCATAAACACACCCACACTCTCACTGAACCACTGCACACACACACACACACACACGCACGATGAAAGGAGTGAGTGGCGTCTTCGTGCGTGAGTGTGACCTGCAAAAACTGTTCCAGCCGCCACTTCTTGCCTTCGCGGAGCAAGGTCGTGAACCTCCGCAACTGCAGACAGGACAGCACCGACATTGAAATTAATCGCCAATCCATCAATTTTATATGCAGTCAAGAGGCCATCCATGTGGGCTGACTGCTCTTCCCGACCTGCTTGAGTTGTCTGCGGATGGGCTCGTGAAGCAGTAGCAGCCACTCCTCCAACAGATCACTACAGTCAGTACAGGCAGCCGGATACAAACCGACACACATGGCACAAAGAGGGAACAACCTTCACGTCTCCCTCCCGGCCTGCCTTCCTTGACCCTCCCTCACCTGGGCGCGGGAACGATCTCACTGAGCACCTTGTCAGTGTACTTGGCCTCTTCGCTCGGAGTCATCATAACCGTGGGGTGGTGTCACAGCGTTGCAGACTTGCACAAACTTGCCACAAAGGAAACAGAAACGAAGCTGTACTGCGGTAACCGTTGGGCTGGGCTGCCTTATCCAAAGACAGGGGACCGGATCGAGGCTGGCGAGCCGAAAATACAAAGAGGGAAGGGACAGAAAGACCGATGCGATGCGATGTGGACCCGACAGTTCCTTCTGACAGCCAAACTTGCGCTGCAACAAAGACGCTTGACAAAGCCCTTCCGAGTCGAAGCACTCAAACGCCGCGTCGAGACGGGGGCCAGCTGGGGGCGCCGAGTTGCCGGTCCCGGTCTCCATCCCATCTCGCCACCAATGGCTGCCAGTAAGGTGCCTCGTCTGGTGATCTACGCCAAGGATCTCACCTTCAGCGAGGATGACAAGCTCGGTGAGTGTCACTGAGACGATGTGTGGTGGCAGGGGGCTGTCACGGGCATCCTTGTTGTGTCTGGGGCACACAGGAAGGGGGGGATTTGGAGTTGTGTACCGGGGCGTCTTCAGGGGGCGGCCCGTGGCCGTCAAGATCGCCCACCCGAGCGAAGAGCTCGACATGCACGTACGTGCGAACACACAGCCTGAGGGGGAGGAGGATTCCCTCACTGGTGGGGTGACCTCCGTGTGTGTGTGTGTGCCTTCTGTGTCTGTGCAGGAACAGTTCATTGAGGTTTTGCGAGAGGTGGAGCCCATGCAGCATCTGCGTCATCCCAACATCGTAGAGTTCCTGGGCGTCTGTGCGGCGGACAAAAAGCACGGACTCATGATCGTCACCGGTGAGGGCTGCCGCTCCTTCGCTGCGTTCATCTGACTTCCTCTGTGTGTCTGCTCGCCATTCTCATCAGAGTTGTGTGAGGGCGGCTCTCTGGCGGCCTATCTGGCCACGAACAGACCACTGAAGCCCGAAGTGCGAGACAGACTCATAAGAGAGGTACGGATACGGAAGAGCAGACAGACAGCCGGCGTCAGGCGTCTCATCTCTGTGTGTGTGTGTCGATTGCCGTCAGATATGTGAAGGAGTGCAGTATCTTCACGACCACGGGATCGCTCACCTGGACCTTAATCCGGCGAACATTCTGGTGAGGGAAGCCATCTCTCAGTCGACGGCTGCAGGCGGCTGTCATGTCACACCTGTTTGTCAGTTGACTGAGGGGCTTGTGGCGAAGATATCTGACTTCGGCATGACGCGCAACACTCAGAGGACAACGAGCTCCTTTGCAGGTGGCCAGAGACACCCTGACAGAGACCAAAGTGAATGCACTCAATCGCACTGATGCCCGGTGCTGCAGGCGGGGGGACCTACAACTTCATGTCTCCCGAAGGATTGGATCCTGAGAAGCGTAAGTGCGTGAGAAGTTTCGTGTGGACGGCGGCCTTTGTATGACTGCTTGTGTGTGCAGTGGGGAAGCCTTCGATTCAGTCGGATAGTGGGGAAGCCTTCGATTCAGTGGCGAGCTACACGGAGGTCAGCACAGTCGTCTGCCCACGAGTCAGACGCAATATTATTGAGGCATCAGCTGAGATTTGCGGCGCTCAGGCGGGCCGCCCTTCGAAGGCCAAAGCCCCGCCGCCATCATCACAGCAGTTGTGGTCCGGAAGCAGGTGACACTCCACTTCTCTTGTTGTCCGCTCCCTGTCCTGCTTTCATTCGGTGTCTCCCTTCATGTCAGATTCCGGCCATCCCGGCATCCCTGCCGGCGAACGTCAAGAATGCCATCAAGGCAAGAAAGACATCATGCGTATCGATTACATACTCTCTTCTCTGTCCCCTCTCTGCGTTTATCAGAGTTCTTTTGCCTACAAAGCGGCTAACCGCCCGACAGCCAAACAAGTCACACACACACACACTCGGGCAGAGATTGCTCATCTCTTTGCTGCGCCTTGCTGCTCATCCCATGGCAGGTCCTCGACAAGTTGGGCATCTCTCCTTCGTCTGGGAGTCAAAGCGGGACAGCAGCTGACTCGCAGGCACCGCCGCGGTTCCGCTGGGGATTCTTCCGCGGGGCGGGCGAGAGAGTTAAAGGTGATCACTGACTGACATGAGGCTGCTCTCTGCTCTGTTTGCACATCTTGCGGTCAAATGCAGGCAGTGCGTCATCTCCTGGTGTGTCTGCTGTCGGCCATTCGTCGGGTGTCCACATGAGCACGGCCAGCACCACAACGGGGACGACGAGCAGTGTGGTCAAAAAGACCTCTCAGCCGCTGTCACAGCACATAGGTCCGCGACACACACACACACACACAGCGAGAGACACAGCGCCACATGATCTGTCTGTGTCGTGCAGCGTCCCCCGCCCAGCAGCCATCAGCAAAGACGCCGCCGAGCGCCCCACAGCCGCAGATCAAACACGTCAGGAAGACAGAGACTGAATCCCACACGTCAATGGGCCGCTGCTCTTGTGCTGATTGTGTGTCAGAGTGACATCTGGAAGGCTGTCGACGCCGGCGATCTTCCGGCGGTTCGTTCGCTCATCGCTCGAGACGGCAAGAACATACTCGACAAACGAGACGAGAGCAATTCCGACAAGGTATGCGATCGTGAAGACGACAGAAATGCACTCAGCAGTCTTTGATGCGTTCTCATTTATGCGCGTAGAAAACACCCTTCCTGTTGACTGCAAAAAGGGGTCACGTGGGCATCATGAAAGTCATGTATGAGAGCAAACCTGACGTACTGCAGCAAACAGACGAGGTACCGACACAGACAAACCATCCTCTGTGTTGCTGCTGAAGAGATGTGTGTCGGCTGTGATGCAATGCAGACTGGCTCGAATGCTCTGCACTTGGCTGCCTTCGATGGCCGTCTTGCGGCGGTCAAGCAGCTGCTGGAGTGGGATCCCAAACTGGTCGATGCACGGACCAAGGTAACAGAGCACAGACACGTCTCTGACACGTCAGTGTGTGTGTGTGTGTATGTGTGTTGATTGCAGAGTGGGTGGTGGGGGCCAGGCGCCACGCCATTCATCTATGCTGCCGTCAATGGTCATGTCGAGGTGCTGAAGGTTCTGTATGCCAAAGGAGGGGAGGACCTGCTCACTCAGACGGACAAGGTGAGACCTCACCCACGAAAAAACACAAAATGCCTCTCATCTGATTGATTGCCTTTCTTTTGTTCGCATGACACACACAGTTCGGCAGGACGGCACTCCACAAGGCTGTATCCTATAGCCGCTCTGCAGTTGTGTCTCTGCTGTGGGCCACACAGATGACTGACTGACGCGAGTGTCTTCTCCACTCTCTGTCTCTCTGTGTGTCATTCTCAAAGGCTCGAGTGGGGCGGCAGTGCTCTGCTCGACATCAAAGACAAAATTGTGAGTGCACACAGACATTCACACCATCGATGGGTCGAGTGATGTGCTCATCACATCTCGTGACGACAGGGGAAGACGCCCTGGGACGAGGCGGCGAGCAAGCCGGAGATCAGAGAGATCATGGTGAAGTACAAGTGATTGCTTGATGTGACCTCTCGTGCGAAAGGTGTGTGGCGTGATGATTGTGTGAAGCGGTATGGTTGTTGTGTGAAGTGCGTAAGGCCCTTGTGTCTGTCTGGTGTCGGTGTGTGTGTCTCTGTGTGTGTCTGTCTTTGTGTCGGCAGCTGCCACACTTGTCTTGCCAGTGGTGCATTGCTTGTCTCATCGCGTCTCAATCGCACACAGGCAGACAGACATACACAGACAGATGGGCTGTGATATGTGTTTTGGGTCGTCGGCAATATCGTTCAGTGTGTGGCTGCGGTGGTATGTGGTGTGTGGGGATGAGTGGGAGAGGGACAAAGGTCGATGAGTTCAAGCGACGGATGTGCGCTCATTAGCTCCAGTCCAGACTGAAGGAAATTTGTGCAGGTCTCCCCATCGATGGGTCTGCCCATGGGTGTGTGTGGGAAGAGTCAATCATAGGGCCAAGTCGAGAGAGACATGTGAAGGCGAGTGCCTTTCAGTGATCGGTCCATATATATCTTATCTAATGTCCATCCTACTTTTCTGGCTAGGCATGACATCCACTCAACGATCCACCCACGCCGCCCACCCACTGGTCAGCCCGCCGTGAGTGAGTGATCAGATATCGACAAAACAGCCAGCTGGGGGGCTGACTGACTGAGTCAAGGCAGCAGCAGGCAGCCGCTAGCAAGAAAGACACACACGTACGTCGCGCGATGGATGGATGGATGGATGGACGGACGGATGGATGCAACGCCTTCGATCGCTCACACACTCATGCAGTGTATATACAGCCACGGCAGCCGAGCGATCAATGACTGACTGTACACACATGAGCACACAGGCGGAGAGAGAGAGAGATGTGCATGTGTGTGTGTGTATGTGTGTGCTAGCCACACGCGTGATGCATACGTCATGTGTGTATGCTCTCAGTCACTGCCTACACTAAGGAGTCCCTCCCCCCAACCGAAAGAGGCGCCGACCTGCGCGTCTGTACAGTGCAGGTGCGTGCGGGAAAAGCACCAAAACCCTCCCCTCCCTCCTCTCGCCGATCTCGGCTGTCTGTCTGCTTGTCTGTCTGTCTGTCTGTGGCGCATCGGTGTGGGCGATCGATCAAACACACGATGCAGCAGCCGTGAGGATGAAACCCTGCCAACCACCCCCACCCCCTTGCTACGCATCTCATGCCATCCTCAGCTAAGCCGGCGTGACTGTGTGGAGCGAACACATACGCAAACACACAAGACGGTGTGGGTCGGTGGAAATCTGAGAGAGTGAGGGAGTGAGTGAAGCGCTTCAAAACGGACAGTGAGTGTGGCAAAACCGCCGCTGGAATGCAAAAGGGGAGGGAAGAAGCGCATTCAAGCCAAGGTGAAACAGCACCCCACCCAATGCAGCGATGCATGCATCGATGGACCCCCTCCTCCACTAATTCTGCCTCGTGTGATGCATTCATTATGCACCTGTGAGTGCACGGCCAGGCAAAAGGCGGCGGGCAAAGTTACCCTCTCTCCACACACAGCACAGAGGTACCACCAGGCACACCCATCTCAGGCAGGCAGGCTGGAAGCAACACGATATGAGCCAAAAGGGGCGTCCAAGCAGCATGTATGTATCCATCGACGCGACGAGTGGGCCTTCGCGCGATGCAATCAGCCTAGCTAGCTAGCTTGCTATGGCCATATCTGCCTCTCCGTGGGCATGGCGTCTGTCTGCACAAGGAATGGAATGGGATGGGGCGAAGGAGGGCGACAAGGGACCTGGGGGGCAGCAGTGCGGTCATCCCGGCTGCTGCCTGCCCTCCAGAAGCTAGCTATCCGTGCCGACCATCCGGCGAAATGACACCCACCTCTCTGTCTGTCTGTCTGTCTGCCTGCCTGTGTCTTTTGCTGTGAGTGAGTGAGTGGTCGGCAAGTCTGTCTGCACAAATGAATTAGAGAGGCAGAGCGTTCATTCGTCAGGCTGGCAGGCTGGCAGAAGCTACGTACGCTAAGAGCAACAAGACATCCCTGCACCCACTCCCCAATCTGCACACCGTCCCTCTCCCCCTTCCCCCTCCCTCATCCCTCTCCCTTGCTACATCATCATTATCATTGCATTGCCACTATCGTTATGAGAGCGCCGCCCAGATGAGCTGCGGCAGGTGGGACAGAACGGTCGAGAAGACAATGGCCATGAGCACCACCACCACGGCACTCTTGACGTTCGCCACGCTAAGGCCCCACACCCGGCCCTCCCGGCCGTCGTCCGCGTCGCCCTCCCACCCACCGCACTCGCCATCGTCGGACGATGAGGACTCCTCGCCCATTTTGTCTATGGACGGCGGGACGGGCTGCCCATTAGCTGTGCCACCCACACCCACGGCCCCGCTGCTGCCGCTGCTACTGCCGCCAACGCCCTTGGATGCCGCACGCACCTCGGCTTCGCACAACTCGCCCAGGTAGGCCTGACATAAAGACACCACACAGACGCATACACACAAACAAGGAGAGAGGGAGGGCGTAGGTACCTGGAGAGGCCTGGTGCGGTTGGCCCTGGTGTGAGTGGTGAAGCCGCTCCAGTCGCCCCCCTTGTGTGTGGGTGTGGAGGGGGCCGACTCGTTTGCATGGTGTGACAGGGACGGGGAGGGGGCCACACTGACGCACGGCGGCTGTTGGTGGTGGGGCTGGTGGTTGGTGTGGGTGGTCGTCATGTTGTGGTGGATGTGCAGGTTGGGCGTGGTCGTCCCCGCACTCGTACTGGCACTGGCCTGGGTGCGCGTCACGCTCGCAGACGACTCGGTGTGATCCACCGCCACCCCGCCGCCGCCACCAGCACCGCCCCCAGCCCCACTAAGAGGTTGGTCGAGTGGCCTGGGGCGGTATGTGATGACCCGGCAGGCGCCTGCGTCAGGGTGCTGGTTGATCTGGTGGGCGATCATCTTGACGGCGCGCATGAGGCGCTCGGGGTCGTTGGCGGCCACGCAGACGACCCGCTCGCTGCAGGACTCCTCGGGCGAGACGAACAGCGGCGAAATCGTCACTGTCGCACCAGTGTCCTCCCGGATCGACTTAACGTGCGCCTGACACACACACAGACAGACACCACTCAGCACGTGTGTCATGTGCCGGATGCGTCAGGTGTGGTGGCCCACCCCGTTCGGTCCGATGAGGAATCCGACGACCATCCGCGGCACGACGAACTTACAGCTAACCCGGGCGAGTTTGAGCATGTCGGCGCCCCTGCAGACGCGGTCGACCACCCAGTACATGGCCTGCTGCACCATCTCCCGCTGCCCACTGATGGCGGCCACCCGCTCGTTGGTGCCGGGGAAGTAGCAGCCGTGCGGCGACAGGACGATCTTGGCGCCCGTCTCCCGCTGCAGCTCCATGATGGTGCGCCCGCTGCGGCCGATGATCGAGCCCGCCACCGTGTTGGTCACCAACATCTTCAGGTACCTGCACAACACAAACATGGCAGCAGTGTGGGGGGGCGGGTGGGTGGGCTCCTCTCTCCCCTGGTTTCTGTCTGGATGTGCTGACTGAGTCACCCACCAGTAGGGCGCGTCTTCAACGTCGTGGCGGACGTCCAGGTCGCCCAACAGGTTACTACTGCCCGTGCTAGTGGCCGCACACCCGAACGCTCCGCCGCCAAACACTGACGGCCCGCTGGGCTCTGGGAAGTTGGGCATGTTCATCTGCGCCACAGGGGCAGCTATGGGTGCGAACATCTGGCCGTCATTGGCCTTGTGGGGGGCGGCCGCTGTGGTCAGGGGCGGCACGGTTGCCATGCCCGATGGAACGAAGGGGAGGGCTGAAGCCTTCATCTCAATCAATCGACAACCAACTCAACCATCAAACCAAACCACCTGCACACCCACAAACAAACGAAGGCACAGAGAGAGAGAGAGGGAGGGAGGGAGGGAGCGTTAATGTCAGAGAAAACCCAGCGGACGAGTGTGCTGGTGGCCTTCTGACCTTCAGGAGCGGCCTGTTTGCCCTCGACTAAGACAAATATCGCCAATGAGCCAATGAAAACCTCCACAGCTGCACAACACGCACATCCACACGTGCGCATTGGTCGGGCCAGCGTCCAGTGCGTTCCCATCGCCATCCTCTGCCTTACCGACGGATAGATCTCTGCTGTCTTCTGCTTATGGGATGGGACGGGCGGCAGCTGGGAAGGGAGAGATGCGGGGTGATATATGGCTGAAAAGTGGAAAGGGGTGAGTGAGGTGATGCTGCTGCAACTGCCCGTCTTAGGATACAGGGAAGATATCGAAATGCCATCCGCAGCAGCGGTTTCAGGGAGCACCCTAGGCGGCCTGGCCATCATCCTGCGCGCTGAGACTGGGGGCTACTGGGGGCACTCTGGAGTTTGTGGACGGACGTGGAACTTTGACCTTTTCAACTCGAAGATCCGAAAGCATCATTCATCGGCCAGCGTGTTTGCAAAGAAAGACTGACCGTCGAGTAGCAGCACCGTCATCCCGAGTCCGCCCGACTCGCATCGCTTTCCATCGCATCGTTTCCCTCTCTTTCTTCGCATCGTTCTCCCGCCTTTGCAGCGCCGCAGAGCGCTGTCGTCGTGTGGGGTCTGTGCGACCCTCCCGCTCCGCAGTGCAACGACTGTGGACACCCCCCTCTCCTTCCCATTTTGCCTTTCTTCCCCCGTTCGGCTCAACTTGAGAGCCTTCCATCCTTTGCTCCATCCAGTGACCCCCTCGGGTCGCCTGTCGGTCTCCACTGTGCACTGAGTGAGCGTCTCCCGTACTGCAATGGGCGCCCAACAAAGCAACCACGTCAGGCCCTCTGAAAAGGTCAGCTGAGTAGCCAGCCATGGGGGATGCACTGTGCGTGACTTCACTGTGTGGGTCGCATTTGTTCAGACGTGCTGCGGGTGCTTTCTGTCGCGTCACGAG